AAAGCCTTTCCACATCTACAAGGCACAAGTCAGGAAGTGATGGAATACTCCCCACTTGCCTGGTTGGGTGCAGCTCCAACAACACTTAAGAAGCTAAACACCAACCAGGACAATTCAGCCCACTTGATTGGCACTACTTCCATAAGCTTCCACTCCCCCACCACTGATGCTCAGTAGCAGCAGTGTGTACTAACTACAAAATGACTGAAAAGAGTTGTCCAAGATCCTTAGTCAGCAACTTACATTGATCATAGTATCATAGAATCCCTACAGTGTGGGAACAGGCCCTTCGGCCCAACAAGTCCACACTGACCCTCAGAGCATCCCACCCAGACCTATCCCCCTTTAACCCGCCTAAGCTACACATTCCTGAACACTACTGGCAATTTAGCATGGCCAATCCACCTAACCTGCACATCTTTGGACTGTGGGAGGAAACCGGAGCACCTGGACGAAACCCACGCAGACACAGGGAGAATGTGCAAACTCCACACAGACAGTCACCCAAGGGTGGAATCAAACCCAGGTCACTGGTGCTGTGAGGCAGTAGTGCTAACCACTGAGCCACCATACCACCCCGTTCCAAACCCATGATTACTTCCATCTAGAAGGACAAGAGCAGCCAATACATTGGAACACAACCACCATCAAGTTTCCCTCCAAGGCAGTCAACATCCTGACTTGGAAATTTATTGCCATTCCTTCACTGTCACTGGGTCGACATCCTGGAATTCCCTCTGTAAGGGCATTGTGGGGTTACTTACAGAGCATGGACTGCAGCAGTTCAAGGTGTCAGCTCAGCAGCACCTTCTCAAGGGCAACTAGGGATGGGCAATAAATGCTGGCCAGCCAACAAATGCTGACATCCCATGGGAGAATGGAATAAAATTGAGGCTAAGAGATATCAGACTTAAAACAGCAATGAGGAGGAATTACTTCCATCAAGATGTCATGAAATGATGGAATTCATTACCTTACAGTGTGATAGATGCCAAGACATTGAATAAATTTAAGAAGGAGTTAGACAGATTTTTAAATCAAAATGAATTGAAGGGTTATGGACAGTGATCAGGAAAGTGGAGTTGAGGCCAAGATAAGATCAGCCATGGTCATATTAAATGATGAAGCAAGCTCAAGGGCTTGAATAGTTCACTCCTGCTCCTTGTTGTTACATTCCTATGCTGTTATGTAAGTAAAATGCCATCAGCAATAGCATTAAAAGGTGACATGGGGGAGAGAGAGAAAGAGACTGGAGATCTCTTCCCTAATCGCACAAAGATTAATCCTGCTCTGCCCAATTCCTGGGAAGCTGAGATCCAGCAGCTGAGAGCTGCTTGAATAAGCTGTGATTTGCGAGCAATGAACTGTTTAAACCACAAATCTGGGGATAAAAAGGTGCTTGAAAAGGCACCATGAATTCACCACCATGTGGTCTCTCAGTATGTATACATGAGCCTGTGTAACAGACATAAAATGCAAAAGTACTCATCTCCCTTTGATTAAAGTGCACACTCTGACTCAAAACAGCAAGTGACAAATGACTGGTCCAGGCTCCTCATTCTGGGCAGTGACAGGCAATGGCCTGTTCAGTTGGAACTCATCACCTGAGCCTTTTATAAAGCAGACTCAGGGGTGGGTCTGCAGAACTGTCTGTCCCAGGCATGTACGCAACAAGTAATGGTTCTAATTTGGTGTTCAACAATAAACAATGTTCCTCTCCAGCTGTGCTTCCTGAGTTATTACAGATGAAGAAAATAAACTGTCCCAGATTGACATTTCACTTGAGTATAGGAGTTGGGAGGTCATGTTGCAGTTGTACAGGATATTGGTTTGGCCATTTTCGGAAACTGCATTCAATTCTGGTCTTCCTGTGATAGGAAAGATGTTGTTAAACTTGAAAGGGTTTAGAAAAGATTTAAAAGGATGTTGCCAGAGTTAGAGGGTTTGATTTATAGGGAGAGTCTGAATAGGCTGGGGCTATCTTCTTTGGAACATTGGAGGCTGAGGGGTGACCTTGTAGAAGTTTAAAAAATCATCGGGGTCATGGACAGCTGAAGTATTTTCCCCAGGGTAGGGGAAAACTAGAGGGCATAGGGTTAAGGTGAGAGGGGAAAGATTTAAAAAGGACCTCAGGGGCAATGTTTTCATGCAGAGGGTGGTGCATGTGTGGAATAAGTTGCTTTAGGAAGTGGTGAAGGCAGATACAATTACAACATTTAAAAGGCATCTGGATGCATATATGAATAGGACGGGTTTAGAGGGATATGGGCCAAATGCTGGCAAATGGGACTGGATTTATTTAGGATATCTGGTTGGCATGGATGCCTTGGATTGAAGGGTCTGTTTCCACACTGTACATGTCTATGACTCTATGACCAGCACCTGCCAGTTTTGCTCCAAGCCACTTAATATCCAGACTTGGAAATATATCACTATTCCTTTAATGTCTTTGAGTCAAAGTCTAGGAACACTGCACAGTGGGTGTCTCTTTCCCAAAACAACTGCAATAGTTCATGAAGGCAACTCACCACAACCTTCACAAGAGCAACTAGGTATGGGCAATAAATGTTGGACCAGACAGGGATGCCACATCCCAATGAATGAAAAGATGATAATGACAAAATGTGATATTGTATCCACATCAGAGACCTGGCTCAAAGAGTGACAGGACTGTGTTTTAAATATTTCTGTGAATCAGGTGTTCGGGAAGGATAGGAAAGGAAGCAAAGGATTGCCACATTACTGATAGTACCAATTAAAAAGAGTACTGCTGTACTGGAGAGAGAGAGAGAGAGGGGAAATATCAGAAGGACAGATTATATTTGACGAGAGCTAATATAGAAAAAAGTTGCAATAACCTTGATTGGTGTAATCTATAGGCCACCAACTAGAGAAAAGGCTGTGGAGGAATAAATTTGCTGTAGTATTACTGAGTGGTTAGAATGGGGATTTTTAAGTATTTGAATATAGACTGGAATGGTAGTAGTGTAAAGGGCAGAGAAGTGAAGGAATTCGTAGTAATATTTTCTTCACCAATATTTTCCACAGCACTGTTTCAGCCCAATAGGAGGAGAGGCATATTCTTGGGAATGAAGTGGGCCAAATAATTATACATCAGTAAGAGAACATTTAAGGGACAATGATATATCCCAAGGTTCAGGATGGCTATGAAAAAAAAACATTCTAGAGTAAGATGAATTAACCTACTCCCCACATCTGTGGGATAAGAATGGATCTGGGCTGAATTGGCTAGAATCAAAGATTAACAGGAAAAATGGCAACTACAAGATGGATACCTTTAAAAGAAGACATAGTTTGGGAATAATGCAAAGATTTGAGCTTCTTAAGCTATTAAATTGTTTGAATTCAAATATGCAAATTACACATTCTTAATTTGTAATAATGCACCCTTATTTATACCTGTTATAACAAGGTATGAATTACCAATGGTAGGAAGAACTGCAGAAGCTGAAGTCTGAGATAACACAGTGTGGAGCTGGAGGAACACAGTAGGTCAGGCAGTTTCAGAGGAGCAGGAAAGTTTACACTTCAAGTCGGGACCCTTCTTCAGAAATGGGGTGGAGGAGAGGAGCTGGGAAATAAATTGAAGGGGTGTCGGGCTGGAGAAGATGGGTAGGATTGTGATCGGTGAGTGCAGATAGGGCGAAGAGTTTCAGGGCAGAGGAGATTACCAGAGGCTTGCAGTGGGAGAGAGATCCACTGAGGTCTTTCCGGAGGGAGGAGGACAACTTCTTTAAGGTGGGCATCCTTGGAAGAGGTTTCGCAGTGGTTTGTGAATTAAGTCAAATTCATGAAGTAAGTGTTAAATATGCCAAACACAAAGCAGTGAGAATAGTGGAAGTTCCTTATCTTTCAAGGGCCTCAGAGTCCTTACTTTTAAAAATAAAATCAAAATCTGGTTCATTGCTGAAAAGAAAGCTGACAGCACAGACTCGTCCTCACCCTTAACAACTTCTCTTTCAATTCCTCCCACTTCCTACAGACAAAGGGGGTGGCCATAGGTACCCGCATGGGCCCAAGCTATGCCTGCCAAATACAGCCCAGTTCGTCCCTGCCTCCCTAACCATTCCTCCCACCTCAAGCCCCACCCCCATCTCCTACTCACTAGCCTCATCCCGCCTCCTTGACCTGTCCGTCCTCCCTGGACCGACCTATCCCCTCCCTAACTCCCCACCTACATTCACTTTTACTGGCTCCAACCCCACCTCTTTGACCTGTCTGTCTCCTCTCCACCTATCTTCTCCTTTATCCATCTTCTGTCCGCCTTCCCCTCTCTCCCTATTTATTTCAGAATCCCCTTCCCCTCCCCCATTTCTGAAGAAGGGTCTCGACCCGAAATGTCAGCTTTCCTGCTCCTCCGATGCTGCTTGGCCTGCTGTGTTCATCCAGTTCTACACCTTGTTAGCACAGATGAGGTCTTTCTTCTCCTGTCTTGGAAGGGATGTCAAAATGTTTCTTCAGATATTTGTACCACAGACACAACAGAAGAATTGTGCCAAAGCAGGTATTTTAAAATGTGGGTGTTTTGTCCTACTGATACAGCGGTTTCCCTTTTAATCTGAACTATATAATTGACAGTCTAAAAGTTTTAATCCCAAAACTAAATATTGTTTGCCTCAATTTTTGAACCACGAATTAAGTATTTCAAGAGTCGCCCCACCAGGAGAAAGTGCAATGTCACCAAATGATGGGGTTTCATTTGTACCATGTAGGATATTTCAACCTGTATTAAATATGAACTCACCATATACAACACACACAAACTTGTCATTTCTTCATTGTCCAATAACTTAAAAAGTTCATCAGCATGCTGTGGAATTCCATGGACAGTTTAAAGTGTAAATATTACTTTTGTGATTGTTATAACCCAGCTGATGTTATTACTGTGCAAGTCAGATCCCAGACTGAAACCTAGATAATCATATTTTGATTTGTTTTGGTTTTAACAAAATAATCTGTTGCTGAAGATAAGAACACAATGCTGCAGATTTTGCTTTAATGATAAAACAAGCTTATGAACAAAAAAGAAGAGAAATCAAAATAAACCAAACTATCCACGTGGAACACAAATTCAAAGATTTTTAAACACACAGGAAAGGTATAATCCCATTAATCCCAAAACAAGTTTTTATAAATTAAAAAGATCAAGATCTTTTGTATAAGACCCCAGTACACAACAATGCCAGTTGTACAGTTCCAACACCACAGTCCTTGTCTCAAACACCTTGGTAGTTTTAATGCTTGTGACTTTAACAATTGGAACTGTAGAAAGCTTCTTCTTGGAGATATTTATGTACCTGAGCTTAAATGTAGACAGCTTCAAATAATGTCTTAAGATTTTTACCCCAATACTTCGTTCTGTGGCTAACACTAACTCTTTAAGGTAATCTAGTTTTACAGTTTCCTTTCCTTTTTACTGACATTGGTCTATACAAGTATCTTCATCAAAGGATGGCAAAAAACTCAATGTAAAACTGAAGAAAATTCTCAAAGCTGTGGGTGTTTTCCTTTAGCTTAAAAAAGACCCCTCCTGACTTTATAAACTTGAGTTTGTTTATCTTATTTGGCTATAAAAAGTATCAGTGTTGTCTTTGCGTCTGGGTTCCTGAAGTTGCCTGCAAAAATAGTAGACTCGCCCACTTTAAGGGCATTTAAATGGTCATTGGATAAACATATGGATGATAATGGAATAGTTTAGGTTAGATGGGCTTCAGATTGGTTTAACAGGTCAGCGCAACATCGAGGGCCGAAGGGCCTGTACTGCGCTGTAATGTTCTATGTTCTATGAAGCTGTGAAAGGTGGTAAAGTCCCTGGTGTCAGCTGGAATGGACATCTTAAGGGATTGTTTTCATGGACCATTCTGCTTTCACTCACTCTATTGTTTAGACACAGTTCTACTAGCGTGTCAGGAATAAATCTTGAGGCAAAGCCCACCTCCTCCTAGGAAGGCTCTGTGTTAAGTTTTAGTGAGGATTTTGAACTTGTTTTCAAATCCCTCCATGGCCTCTTCCCTCCCTATCTCTGGAATCTCTCCCATTCCCTCAGTGCTGCACTGGAGTGTCCAGGAGCTTTGGGGCTCAATTCCTGGAATGGGACTTGAACTCACAACCCTCTGTCTCAGACAGCAAGCTTATTGGTTCAACTCCAACTGCAGATCAATTATTCCATGAACATGAATTAAAGTTGTTGTCAGGGCCGCATGAAGACGTCCCCAGGATTTGGGGCTGCGCCCCCCCCACCAACATTTAACCACCATTTATTGAAACACAGCCGTGTTGTAACGTGAGTGAAGAGGTTGTAGACACCTCCTCTTTTACACAGACTGTCCACCTTCGAGATCTTTTCTGGATACATAATGTGGACAACAAGCATGTGGAGTGATCAAGCTTCTATAGTGAGTATATATCCACATGTATATGTACATGGATCTGCTACAAGTAAATTCACAAAACTGGCAATGGGCCTTCCTGTGTGATAAGGGTCTGTCCTCAGGTGTTCAAACTACTGATGGAGACCTTTTCACAGCCTTAGTGATTAACCAGACCACTTCCCCTGACAATCATATTGATCATCTCAAGCTGCTGATGCTGATTCCAGGAATGAGAAACTTCAGTTATGAGGATAGACTGGAGAATTTAGGATTGTTCTCCTTCAAAGGAAGAAGGCTGACAGATGAATTGATAGAGGCTTTCAAAATCATGAGCAGACTGGACGAAGTCAGTAGGGGGAAGCTGTTTCCGCTTGTCAAGAAAAAAGAAAAGTTTGTGTAGATTTAAAGTGATGCGCAAAAGGAGCAAGCCTAAAAAAAGGCTAAACTTTCTCACACAGTGAATAGTTAGGGTATGGAATACAATACAATTCTATGTTCTATGTTCTAATACCTGGAAATGTGGTGGAGGCAAGTTCAACTGAAATGAAGTGCAGGGGTGTTGGGAAAAGACAGGAGGTCGGCACCATGTAATAAAACCGATGCACTGAAAGGCCACCCTTTGTGCTATAACACTTTTGTGATTCATGACTCCAGTCTATATGATGTGGCCTGCAATTATTTCAGCAAATTAGTGGACCACAGACAATGTTAATTTGTGTTACATTAGCAAGTGAAATAGTTGTAAGATCATTTATTACAGTCAAAATAACGTTATTATTGCATGGAGTTTCTGCTTTGCTTTCTTTTGTGATAGTTTAAAATAATGCACGCACTCTGTATAAAGCCTGATGAGGAGACATGGCAAAAGGAGAGAGATAGCAAAGAGGGAGAGGATTACCCTGGAGGAGAGGTAGAAAACAGGACGAGGTGGAAAAGAGGGCAGAACTAAGTAGGAGAAAGAGAATGAAGAGGAGAAGAGAATTTAAGACCCCTTTCTTATTTGCCCCTCCTTCTAACTCTTTGTGCCCCTAAGGTCTGTGTGCCTCTCTCCTGTGCATGTGCTGACCCCACGACTGCACATTATCACTGCCTTGGATGCTGCGGGTCTTCTTCTCTGATCTGCTGTCAAACACATCCGAGCATAGACATCCCATACTGATGTTGTCAGTTTGAAAGACTCCCAAGATAAACAATGTTATTCCCACACTAGAAATCTCTATCAAACTTTTCTAGATTCACTGAGTGCCTTGGTACAGATAACTAGATGAGACAATTTAGGTTTTAAGTAAACACACAATTTAGTTTTAACAAAGCATGCAACTTGGTGATAAAATACATTATAAATTGCAAAGCTAAATAAAAAGAAAAATCAGCTCATTTAAACATTACTTGTTACAAACATAACACCTTTAAAGGAGGTCAAACTTCAAACTAAGTTAAACTAAACCTTGGTCCCCAAGAGAGTAGGAGCATAGGTTCACAATGAATCTGAAGTGGATCTGATTCAATTCAACAAATCTCCAAATTATCCAAGTTTTGTTGAAATATTCATAATTAATTTTTAGCATTCTGTAATTAAAAGGTTGCATGGTAATAGTCACTCAATAAATAATAGAGCACCAAAATACTACCCTAGATTAAGCGAAGAGGTAAAACTATTGTAATGACAGTACCCAATTGATTCCTAAAATAAATTCTTAAGAACTGACATTAGGGAGCAGTTGATTAATCAGTCAGTCTGATTAATCAAGGTACCACTTCAAACAAGACTATAAGATGTGGAGCCTACTGTTTCTTTTATCTGATTGAAGTTTTACTTATCAGACCTTACACTGTAGTTGTGTTTGTGTCAAAGCAGGAATCCACAAGATACTGTTTTTTATTTGCATGCAATTCTCATCAGCAACTTCACATTCTTGTGAAGGGAGTTGATCATGTTGGGCTTGCAAATGAACTTTATTAAAAACTGCAGTCACTAGTCAGTTTTCCTGACAAGTAATTTATCAGCTCTTTTTTGTGCACCAATTCCATGTATTTTGAACCTCAATCCTGTCTGTCTGGAGACTCTGCCATGGGAAGATATTGTTGCTGTGATTATTGTTTCTGCTGTTCTGGTACATGTATCGGTAAAAGGTATTCAGTTCTTTGCTCGATTGGTGAAATCAGGTCTACCCCTTCAGCTGTCTGCTGTGAAGGAGCAGTTATTCAGGTGAACAGATAGATATCTGTGCTTGAGACATCAGAGCTGTTCACTTTCACCATGCACAATCAAAGTGACACTTCTTCACACAGATCCCTGGTTGCCAAATGAGCTGACTTCTGTTAAGTTCACTGAATGTTTGCACTCTGACCAGCTCTCCTGGAAATGATTTGGCAGCTTGATCAAAGTGACATTTGATTTTCTGTCATTTTACTTTGATTTCATCAGTGTCTGCTGTTACTAACTGTGAATTTTGTACTGTTGGAAGAATAGTCTGCGCACCATATGATGTTGGTGGTTGGACTGAACAACTTTCCATGCCTTCAGTAGGTGTGTTAACTGGATTTATTTGACTTTTTGATCATTCTTTTAGCAATTTTTACCTCTGCCTCGGGCTATCCATTTCACTAGGGCTGTGTGGAGATGATGAGTAGTGCTGAATATTCCAATCATTCATGAAGTGTCTGAATCGATCGCTCATGAATTGAGGTTATTGTTATTGATCACAAAGTCAGGAATGCCATGATGACTGTAGTGTGCTTTCAGACATTCAACAATCTCACTGGGAGTCGGTGACACCAGCTGCTCTAACTCCCTGCTGCCTGAATAGTAATCAACTGTGACAAGATAATCAGTTCCAGTGAGAGTAAAGAGCTGTACTCCAAGCTTCATTCATGGGCTGTCTGGGATGCCACGAGTCAAGAGCAAGAGCAGCTCTTTATCTTGTTTAGTTTGATGTTCATTACAAGCAGTGCTCTGGCCGATGTGTTCCTTCATCTCATTGCTCACGTTTGGTCAGTAGATCACTTCCATTACGTCCCTTAGATTAGACTCAATTCCTTGATAGTTTGTTTGGAATGTGTTTCAGCATCTTATCTCTTTAGGGATAATGGCCCCGTCATCTTGGGTGATCACTTCATCTCTGTAGCCTTTGAAGATTTGCATTATTTTTGTGTGATCTTGTCTGTCAGCTTCAATGTCTGTGCTAGTGGTTGGTTTCTGGAGCGTGTTGTGCTGTTGCTTCAGGTTGAATCTGCACCAGAATCAACTTCAGGCAGAGAGTAGTTCCCGACAGAATGTCAGTGATGTACATCTGCTTCCCTTGCTTGTACTTCATTTCCCAGTGACATGCCTGTAAATGAATTGGCATATTTTGTAAATGTTTTAAAGCAAATGCAGGTGATTTGGGAAAGATGCTTTGAATTATATTGTGATCAGACTCTACCACTAGTTTCTCTCTCCCTTACAGGTGCTGGTTGAACTGTTCACAAGCAAAGACAACATCAGACTCTCTCTCTCAGGCTGTGTACAGTGTTGTTCAGTGTGTGTTAACTCTCTGGATACAAACACAACAGATTGCCCTCACTGCATGGGGCTTGCTCCAAGTCCTGTGTCACTGACATCACACTGCAGGGTGGCTCCATTGTTGACATCATAATCCCTCAGCACTGGTGATGTCATCACTAGGTGTTTGATGGGAGTGAAAGCTGCTTCTTGTTCTGTGTCCCAGTCCCACTGAACACCCAGCACCGTGAGACTGTGTACACCGTTACACACTCTGAGGATGGATTGGGCTAAGACTTGGCGAGCTAGTTCACAACGTAAATAAAATTACTGAACTTCCTTCACACCTGTTGGTAATTTGCCGATGATCCAGGGGCTTCAACAATTGCATAAAAGCTTTATTACAGAATTTTCACATAACAGAGTTTCTTATGTGTGTGTGTGTTGATGGACCAGGAGATACATTGACTGTGTGACAACTTCATCAAATATTTCATACTTGAATGGTTTCTCTCTTGTGCAAATAGGCTGGTGCTTTGAGAGATCGGAGGATTGGGTGAAAGTCTTCACACAAACCCAGTGTAGGGTAACTCCCCTGTGTGGATCCTCTAATGGAGCAGGAGGCTCCATGACCTCGAGAACGATTTGTCACAAGTATTGGATGTGAATAGTTTCTCCCTTGTGTGAATACGTTGATGTCTGCGGAGGCTTGATGATTGTGAGAATGATTTGTCACACACTTCACACGTGAATGATTTCTCTCCCGTGTGAATGCGCTGATGAACATGGAGGCCTGCTAAGTCTGAGAATGATTTGTCACACACCTTGCAAGTGAATGGTTTCTCCCCTGTGTGAATACGTTGGTGTGTACAGAGAGTTGATAAGTGTGAGAATGATTTGTCGCACACTGCACACATGAATGGTTTCTCCCCTGTGTGAACGCGCTGGTGGATCCGAAGAGTTGATAAGTGTGAAAACGATTTGTCACACACCTCGCATGTGAATGGTTTCTCACCAGTATGAATACGTAGGTGTGTGCGGAGGGTCGATGAGCGTGAGAAAGACTGGTCACACACTTCGCAAGTGAATGGTTTCAGCCCTGTGTGAATGCACTGATGTCTGCGCAGGGTTGATGAGTGCGAGAATGATTTATCACACACCTCACATGTGAAGGGTTTCTCTCCTGTGTGAACACGCTGATGTGCACGGAGGGTTGATGAGCGGGAGAATGACTGGTCACACACTTCGCAAATAAATGGTTTCTCCCCTGTATGAATTCTCTGGTGTGTCAGGAGATCAGAGGATTGGGTGAAAGTCATCTCACAAATGCCACACCTGAAGGGTTTCTGCCCTGTGTGATTTCGTCGATGTCTCAGAAGAGTTGAAGAGGCCTCAAAAGATTTGTCACAGATCTCACACTTGAAGGGTTCATGTTCCATGTAGCTGCCCTTGTGTTAACAATTGTGCAGCAGACGTGAGTTTGGAGATCTGTGCCTGAGGAGCTCTCCTTGCACTTGAACAAGAGGAATAAGTCAGTGGTTCATAAGGTTCAATGAATGATTGAAGCTCTCACCACACTTGGAGCCACTGACACTTCTTCACAGCCTCACCCTGACCGATCACCCACTGCCAAACCTGCAGAAAGGTTGGTTCCAATGGAAGGCTCCACACCACTGACCAGTTTCAGATCTGATGATATGTCAAAGCTCCCCTGACCCGACCAATTTCCAGATGATGGTTTCACTGCCCAACCTTCTCAGTGTTCAGCAATGCTGTGAAGGGACTGGATGTCTTCCTGCAGTTGTTCCTTGGGTGATGGTCAGGATCTATCTGTGGTAACTATCCTCTCTGTTAATGCCGTGCAATCCTTCTGTAAAACACATGATAAAAAGTGCATTAAATAGATTACAATAATTTGGGATTAGGATTTTTAAAAGTAGAGGCATGTGCGTTTGGTTTCCGTTCTGATAGAAGATTCAGGCTGGAAAATCATTTGAAACAGTGAATTAAAGACATAATTTCCAAAAAGGCAAATGCCAACAAGATCTGTGTGGTTTTATTGGATGAAATGTTCACATTGCTGAGTTTATGATGGACAGAGAAGAAAAAGATCAGAGTTGAGATTTGACTTCAGAGCAGATGAATTAACTTTTCAGCTCAGTCATCTCAGTGGAAGGGTTTTAGTTTGTGAAGCCTCCAAGTATTGAGTGCTTGAATTGTGTGCTTTGATGTTTACACATTGTCAGAGCTACAAAAAAGATATTTGTGTTCTCAGAATTGAAAAAAAGTTCATACCAACAGAGCTGGAAAGAAGTTGTAAAACTGTTCCAAGCAGTCCAAAGAAAAGAACTGGGAAGAACAAGTTGAGGAAGAAATTAAAGAGTAAGAAATGATGTTTCTTAGGGCTTGAATATCTGGAAAGGATATTGCTGGGAAATAGGCTGCCATTTTATTTCACAGTTTATGTTTGGAGCTTTCTTAAATGTCTCTACATGTAGCTTTATTCATATATTCCTCTTTTGCGTAAAACAACTTATGTTCTTTTGTTAAAGAACAGTCAAGGTCTCTTTCCTAGGTAGGGGAGTCCAAAACTAGAGGGCATAGGTTTAAAGTGAGAGGGGAAAGATTTAAAAAGGATTCAAGGGGCAATTTTTTCACGGAGAGAGTGATGTATGTATAGAATTAGTAGACAGAGGAAGTGGTGGAGGCTGGTACAATTACAACATTTAAAAGGCATCTGGGTGGGTACATGAATAGGGAGTGTTTACATGGGTATGGGCGAAATGCTGACAAATGGGATTAGACCAGATTGGGATGTCTAGTCGGAGGGGACAAGTTGGACTGATGAGTCTGTCTCTGCACTGTATGACTATGACTCTAACACTTGCAGCCTCATTTGTACATGTTTAGGGACTAGCCAAAACAGTAGCCAACTATAAAAATTAAACCTATAATCCACTGAGCCAGGCTTTCATTCTGAGTTTTCAATTGATAAATATAAGCTCCAGCTGGGATCAAGGTAACAGAAAAAGAACATAATTTAATTTACCTCCTTCTTTTCCATTGCTGAAGAAGCTGGCTCCTCAGTTAGAGACTGAGTGAGTGCCACAGTGAGTGCCAGTCTGCTACTTCCTGTGTTGGAGGATCAGATGCAAGTCTTTTCTTTTCCCTCACTTGACTGTCACACACCATCTGTTTCCAGCAGGGACACTGGATAGTGACCAACAGCTGACAATGAGGCTACTTTCTTTCCTTTGCCCAGACCCCCATCTTCCCAGGCACCATGAGTTTAACGGAAAAGACAGTCAGCAGCGGAGTAAAACAGGTTCTCAATTCACTGTGAGCTCAAGTCATTCTG